TGGCATCTTGGTATGAAATCGTCTGACCTTCATGAGGCTTTTGCCACGCTGCTTCTTTGAGGGAACATTGACCACTGCTGAGGAATCAAACACGATGTCCTGCATTTTGGCAACTCATCTATAGCAAATACATCTATCTATACATGTTTCATGTGAATGCAGGCTTGTGCAGCAAAACTCTTGTCAGCGTATACAGTGCACTCGGTTACATATATGGTCGCACATGGTTGGAACACAGTATAGAATGATGTTTGTTTAGTGTTGGCATGCTCCTGTGGGCGGTACACTTCGTGACTCTTGGTTTGGACCAACGTGATGGTGTTCTGCCGGCTGCTGTCAAAAAAGTCACAGATTTGACTCCTCATCGATTCGATGATGAAACGTGCCTTCAACTCGCCGCCTCCGACAGCCCACTTAAAGCCACCAATACGAGTCCCCCTGATGGTAAACAGCAAGAAGTAAACTGCCCTGGAGTCTGCATCGTAATGGTGTGACAAGTGGATCACCTGAGACAATGCAGATGCAATAAGAGTTTCTATACTCATCTATATCAGGTATATGGTTCTTGGTTTCGTAGGGTGAGCACCAGCACCAATGACAACAACCTGAGCAAACAAATGACCACGCACATATATGAAATGTCAACGCCTGCATGTCAAACAAAACTTAACTGATCATGGAAAGTTACCACGCTGGACTTGGGAGTCTTCCGGATGTACAAATCACTCTGATTCCTTCTGGTGTATTTGAACATGTTCTCGTGTTCTTCAACGAATTTGTATGGCAATGAAGAGCCCATGCGGGTGATATATATCACCATATGGTCCCTCTCCTCGATCCGCTGAGATTGCTTACTTGCCAGCACTCGCCACGATGGCGAACCCATGCTGGGCAGTTGCACTGTGGCCAGCGTCTGACCCAAATCCATGATCAGGTAATCGTACACGAAAGCTGGGCTCTCCATGATGTTTCTACAACAAGTATGCGAGATACACAACAGCAAGGCTTGATCAGCTCGTGACTTGCCGACGCGTGATATGATTTCCAGAAACTGTTTCTCCTGTTTTAGTCTGAACTTGGCAACTTTCCGTTGTGAACAGCGCAGTGCATGGTGACACGTTTGAACTGATACAACGTTTCGTCTCAACTACCCAAAGTGCATGTGTATATGGACATGACGAGCCATTGAGTATAATGTACAAAGAACATGTTTTCCTTCTTCTTTTCCTGCATGCGCTCAGATCCTCATACTTGGCTTTACCCAGTGGCATCTATTTTGTCACAACGTTTGGACAAACAATGTCCCACATGACTTTACACAGCACGGTGCATGATTGATGCGTGAAGGCTTATGATGTGCTCTTCTTCATTCGCTTGACAGGGTGCAAAGATGCAAGCTCTAAGGGCTCGGGCGCCTTCTTAGCAATCTCAGGACGATACAAAATGAGGTTTTCCCCAGCCTCAATTTTGCCAGGGTTCCTGGCAACCACAATTTTATCATGCTTCACCAAAACCATGTTCGCATCATCTCGCTCACTCGTGACCTTCATCAGCCAAAATGGTACATGAACTCCGGGAGGCTGCAAAGTAACATTGAACTCTTGCCTAAGCAATCGCAATGGGTCAGTTGGTTGTATAATGAACGTGGAACAAAGATTTCAGTGAACAAACCCAAAAAACAAAAACAGTGCATGCGTTGCAAGCTACCCATCATGCTCTTCAACTTCCAATTGGATAGCCGATGCTGTCGGTGCCTTGGCCTCTGCCTTTTTCACAACCTCAACCTTGTTTGTCAAAGGAATCAACACGCATTTGTCCTTGGCGATGTCTGCTGCAGCAGTCACCCCCTTTGGCTTCTGAAAGAGTTCCAAGTTCTTGTTTTGATCCCGGTGCTGATTCAATGCGCGTTGCAACCGTTGAACGACAGTGGCTTTGATTACACTCACGTCCATGAGATCTTTCCATGCATGGGGATCCTTCACTGGTTCCTGCACCTTTGCTTTTGGTTGATGCTTCCAATCACCACCGATAAGTTTATCGACGTCAAGATTGTAATCCGTTCCATCATCCAAGCATGTCGCAACAACCTTCTTTGTGGTAATGTCTTTGATTGTGGCTTGCATACCATCGGACTTCCTTACGATAGTGGATCCTTTCTCAAACCCTGCATCAAGGACCATGGCATTGGAAATGAGTCGACCATCATCAGTGTAGTCCCTGATCCTGGTCACATTGGTTTAGGGGTGTGATGAGTATACAGCGGCATACGACATCATTGCATGGATGAGAAGAGATGCATGAGGAACCAACCGTTGTCAATCATGATATAGTTCGCAAAACAGAAACACATGAGATCCATCAAAGCCATTCAATGATATGCTCACGACCATACATTTACAATGGTCCTGCTTTTCATGCCTGCCGGTGCAGCTGATGAAGAAGATGGTGCAGTTGTCGCAGCGGCCACTGGGTCCCAAGGAGAGTTCCTATGATCCTCTGAGAACTTGCGCCAGAACTGCACGCACTGGAAGGCCGCTTCAGTCGTGTCATTGCAAGGCTCAAAGGGATGCACGCTCTCCTTCGGCTTCTTGCCCAAGATTGCAATCACCGAAACCACCTCGAAGATACCCAAGCCCATCAAACGCTGGCGCGCTGACAAGTCTGTCAGGCTCTCACCAAACTTCCTGACATCTTGGTGCAGTACCTCGAATTGCATGACCTTGGCGAAAAGATCCCTCTGCTGCAAGCTCTTCTTGATATCGGCGTGGGTGACCAATCCCTCTTGGTGACAATACATTGCTTTCAGCATGGCATGTCGCCAAAGCACACACTGCTCCATACCCTTCTGGCGGACATCCAAACCAAGGTTGTCCCAGGCTTTCACACCAAAGGACCTTCCACTATGGCCGTATGACTTCACAAATGATTCGGTGTTTTGAAAGAGATGCGCACTCTTCCCTCCTCCACACCGGATCATGAAGTTGTAGAGATGCGGAATGCATTCTGGCCGTGGAGGCTTGCTTCGCAAAATCTGGGGAGCAATGTCTTGATATGGCGTTGGCTGATCACCAACTTGGTTTTTGATGAAACCAAGCATTTTGCAGCAGATCTGCAATTCTGCTTCAGGTCGTGCCACTTGGTTTGCAGCATTTGCTGCGGACTGGGACAGTGAACAAAACTCTGGGAATTCATCCACGACGCAGCTGGCAACAACGTCGTACATGCATCCATCCTTCACTGCTCGATGGTACGCGAGATCGTTTCTCTCCAACACCTCCATGCTCAATCTGCCATTCACTGTGATGTTTGGATTTTCATGCTCTATGCCATAGTACCAGCTACGAAGAACTTGGTTGGAGTGTGATCCAGCAATTGTCGCATAGCGGAGTGTGTCCCTCAAAGGCGGTAACCTCATACATTTGCTTTAATGAATTGACAAGTTGGTACTATATATGGCGATGTGTGAGCATCATGAAAAACTATGGAAATGAATACAATAAACACCATCATGGAAAAGGATGGTGCCAACAAACAAATGTTATCCACTTGCTATGAAGTAGCAAGTTGTTGGACTGGTTCACCAACTTTTCGTTGTATTCTTTTGTGGCTTCACCATTTGCACCATGAAGTTCAACAGCCATCCTACGCGACTCTCCCT